AAAGATACTTGAAACTTATTCGCGTAGATATTAACAGTAGTACATATTTAAAAATTTCCCATCAAGTTTTACCCACATACTTATAACAACATAAAACCTAGTAATACTTTCTACATAGATAGAGTGGCAAACAATTTTTTCCCTCTACATCAACATTATTCTAGCCTTTCCCTACACTCCATACTCCACAGAGTGTTCTATAGTGCTTACACATCCTGTAACTCCTACCTCTTTAATTTTTTATTCTCTTTACCTATCCTATCACATTTACCAGTATACTCGACAACACATAATACGTACCTCTACATGCATTAGACCACAATAATATACAAATACACGTATGTATATATCGTATCACACTTTCATCCGCGCGTTTTCCAACGTCACTCACGCGCTGAATTTGTTGACCGGTATCCGGGCTTTCCCTCACTCAAATAACCCATATTTACACCGACAACAACAATAACAATGATAACAACTGAACAGCAGAAGAGAATGGAATTAAACCACAGAAATATCGTATCAGCTCAGACTATAAAAGACAAAAACAAAATATAAAGATAAATAAAAAATATGAATTAAAGACGTCGCGAGAAAGCGATGAATCAGGAGTCCACGGGAGCGTGGCAAAGTAGTCCTAATTTCCGTCTTCTGTATACCGTAAGGTAACAGTACTACATTCTCAAATGCCCTTCGCTTCATCTTATTCTCGTTTGACTTTATTTATTTTATCTTAACTTGCTCCTTTACTCCTTTACCTTTCATTTACGCGAGTTATCTCAGTGCAGTTATACTAAGTCTCTCCTTCCTCTCACCTGTTCTCCTTCAGACTTTACTATCGTTATTTATCTTCATTTATGTCTCATCGCTGGTTTTATAACACTAAAATAATCTATATTATTAAGAGGATAAGAAAAAATTTTCTTTTCAGGATATTTATATGATAAAATCGGTATTTTTTAGTGAAATTTAGTGTCATTGTTAAGAAATGACCTTGTATCTTGTGAAATATTTACATTTTTAAAGATATAAGCTCATCTTGATGTTACACTCATCGAGACTTTTTTTTGGTGAATGTAATATCGGGATGAGCTTATATCTTTAAAAACGTCAATATTCAAGGAAGTCCAGTCCAATTTAACAAAATTCATTATTTAGTAAAGCAAAATTTTAATTTTTTTTAGTTCACATAGTGACTGCAAAGTTCCTAGTTATTTTTATTAAAATAACCCCGGAAGTTAATTTTTTCACAAAAATTAAATTATCCGACATCTGATAATTTTTTAAATTAATTTGATTAAAAAATTGAAAAAAAAAGTTTCACGTACAGAAAATTAAAAAAACTATAAATGCAATTTTTTAGTTCTAATTTAATTATTAAAAAAAAGACAAATATATTTGTCGGCTAATTTTAGTATCATTATTTTTTTTCACTTTCTCATTTTAATTTTATCTAAAAATTAATGAAAGAAAATAATTAACGATCCAAGTTTATCAAATAAGAATATAATATAATACACTACCATAGGGTAGTTGGGAAAATAATCCCAAGCTAGATAGTAGAATACGGGGGATTTGTAAAGAAAGATATGAACGCATAATGCGCAGTTGAGTATCATAGGGGGTGACGTCGTTCAAGGTCGCCGTAACTAGAATACGTTACGACATAGCTCGCATATAAATGTACTCAAACATGCATGTATCTTTTTTTTTCTAAAAAAAAATTACAGATACAAGCATGAGATTTTTCAATTGAACCAACCCTTAAAACTTTGAAGAGATGCACGTGCAGCAAGTAATACAATATTAAGTCGTCCTTGTCTCTCTCAAAAATATCGTGACATAAATTCAGATATTATACATGTACTTTGATGACATAAAAAAGTAAAAGGTAAAAACAGGCGATAATAAGAAAATAAAATAAAAACGATAAGGTTGAGGAAAAAAATGAGGTTAAAAAAAGAAAAAAAAAAAAACAAGTATATATGTCCAGAGAAATAAAATAAAAAAATAAGAGGTAAAATATCACGAGATGTAGAGAATGGATCGAAGAAAGGTAGAATAGCGAGGTCTTGGTATGGTAGTAAAGGGAAAGGGTGGAAATGGGTTCTCTGAGAGGGTGCTTTTTTCCTGGGCTGCTATGTGTATGTTCTGGGTTTGCTACTTGAGTTCTATTCCGTTCTATATCTGCTAGAAGTATTATACATATAGTATATACTAGACTGGTGAAGAAAGGGACCAGGGGATAGTTGTAGTAACTACAGAACTACACTAGTTATATTTGGAAGGTGTGGGTGCAGAATGGTAAAAGAGGAAGACTCGGAGAAGGGAAAGAGGAGTGCAGTAAGGGAAGTGCGGGTGGACAAGGATAAGAGAGTCTCTTTGTATCGGGGTGAAGCAAAGGGATGAAAGCGGTGGTACTGGTGGATGAAAAAGCTGGAGACAGATGGCCAAGCGGACAATGAGAAACTTGAGAGAGATAAGGTATAGAGTGTAAGGCATAAGGGTTGGAAGAATATGTATGGATCCTCAAGTACGAATCGGTGAGAGAGAGTTCAGAGGATGAGACCCCGTCAGAGCCGTACTGATAGAAGGATTTGTTTATATTTAATATTTATTAACTTAATAAATGATTTTTTAACATCAGGATTTAAAAAATATTTATGGAAGCTAATAAATTATTTATTAAATGTTAATAAATATTTCAGCTGCCCAATTTTAAAACACAGTAACTGCAAAATTTTTATATGATTTTTTTTAGTATTGCTGCATTTCTTATATTTTGTAGACCTTAATTTCAAGTATTTTTTCTTAAAAATATTTATATTCAAGTATTTTCTATTCATAAATCAAATTTTTGATCAATTTGGCGCGCAAACTTTTTTTTTAATAAGAAAAATTTTTTAATTTTCAGTTACTGTAACATTTTTGAAAATGGGCAGCCGATTTGTTAATAATTAACAAATATTTATTAAGTACAATTTATTAACTGTATGTTAACAAAAATTTATTTAAAATAAAAAGCAAAAATAGCAATTTTCTATCAACACTTTTTATAATCCTATAGCTGGAATACATGATAATAATTAAATTCACTAAATAAATTAACGTTTTTAATATTTAAAAATATAAAAGATAATTATGAGCTGTGATAGATTTTGATATTTTACAATAAACGTTATTTTAATGTAATATAATTAATTCAAATAATTTATAAAGGTGATTTTTGTTTATAAGCAATCTTGATATCATATGACATTGCAAGCCAAACAAATTCACTCAACAAAATATTTATTAACTATTAATAAATGTACTTTCTTCCCAAATAAATATTTATCGAATGTCAAGAAACATTTATTAAAATTGAATAATTGTCTTCAAATAAATTAAATTATTAATAGTTAATAAATCCTT